ACCTTTACTCCGTTTCCTGTGGTGTTCTGCGTGTGGGTTTAAACACAGAGACCCATCATGACAAGTGCAATTACTCATGTAAACTAGTACATCCAACTTAAAATCAGCAAATGATTAAATGCATTAACAAAGCAGCAGGTATGATGATAACAGTGCAATTGATCATGTAACATTAACACATCCAGCTTAGTATTGGTAAATTATTAAACATGTATTAACAATAGCAGCGTTTTTGCAAAAACCCCTTTTTGCCTGGCAATGTAGTGATGTGTGTGAATGAGTGTAGCTAAATGGGGGACCACCCCCCTTTGTTCTCCACGCGGTGAGGGGAACAAAGAGAAATGGGGGGGGCGACCTGTAATCAAGATGGCGGCAACCACGGGGACCCCACATGGCTGACTGTGATAACTTTATATCTATCTCAAAGCAGAAACAACAAAGAGGACAGGAAAGCCAAGAAAGAAAATAAAGAAGCACACACTTATTTCAACCAAATGAACAAACTCTTAATCAGCACAGATAAAAAAAAAACATCAGCATTAATTCAAAACCCTAAACTGTCTTTCTCTCGCCTGAGCACAGCAATTCTGATGCATCAAAGGAAAGTAAATTGATTTTACTGTGAGATGCGTCGTCCGAGGGAGGTTGGCGTTTCCACGGCAACCGCAGCTTGGTTTCTGTCGGGCATAGGGTTCTCTGCCACCGGTCCACTCCTCGGGAAAGTTCGGTCATTTCGGGGCTGCAGCAGAGGGCTTATATGCTCACAAGTTGGAAAGGAGGGATTTTAGGAGGTGATCTTAGGAGGTGGTCGGCTAGAGAGCGTCCTCTCAGCCGATTCTTCCAAGGAAGGGAAAAAACGAAACTCCGCGGTCAGCTTTAAAGGCTTCTGTCTCCCCAGTCGGCGCAGCCGCTATGCACGATGGAACACTGCGATCCGTGACTTTTGACGCAGGAAAACGAAAGCTACTTCCAGTCAGCTTTCTTCTGGTATTTCACGTGAAACGAGTCTCTCCTGACGGGCTCCAAACCTATGGAAATAGAGGGAGAAGTCTTCTCGCGCCTGGCTTTTAAACCATGTGTGACACGGGAGCACTTCCTGTGGAAGTATCGGCTGATTTGTCTGTGCCATGAGTGACAGGGTGGAACTTCCTGTTGGAGTATTCGGCTGATTGGTCCATTTGAGGTGGCCGCCTCCCACAGTGGGAATGCTTTGTTCTCCTTTGTGGGGAAGAGGAGGGGATGGGTTTCAGGTCGCTAACAAGGGGGATGGTTTAGCCCAGTGATTTAGCTCCATGTTGGTAATATACCTCAACAGTCTGAAGCACCCCTTCTCACGGCGTCCCATAGAGGCACTTCGCCTCAGCATATACAAAACCAGGGAAAAGGGAAGGAATCAGCGTTTGACCCGAGAGAATGCGGAGCTGACACGTCAACTTCAAGAGGCACGGCAGACCATAATCCTCCTTGAAGGGAGGTTGCTGCAGCAAACCGCTGATCAAGGGCGCATGGCTACTACTACTACTACTACATTGCTGCAGCTGCCGGGGCCACAAGCCCCAGGAAATACCGATGCGAGACCATGGGGGATGCTTGCTAACCCCCACGGAGGCCCGAACTATTATTAATCTCAACCACAACACCATACTGGATATAAAGGACAATACTGATTATTAATGATTATGAATACCTATGATAAAAATAACTGACAGAATAATTGAATATGTGACAGTACAAGTACTGTGCAGGAGAGTGCCACATGGTTACTCATATGTTGGTTGTAATGACGGTCCATTGACCATTAGATGATGTGTTTGCCTGGCATAGTCCAGGCATGATGGAGTTTCTCTTGGATTATTTATGGGTGTGTAATGACACCACGTGGAGGGGGATGCAGTGACCTAGTAGGAGATGAAGCTGCTTGGGCATTGGAATTCCCCTACCTCGTATCATTGCTGCTTAGAAAACAATAACTGAAAATCCTTCTACAAAAAAGTAAGCAAGAGGAATGGTCCTCGTAAGTGAGCCAAAGGGGGGGATCCCTCTTTGTTTTAAGATGTTCTCCAATTTTACATTTTATCACTTTATCATGTAATCACCACTTCTTATATCACTCACTACAAGTATATGGTGTGTTTTAGTCTCACTTTTAGTTTGGTGTGCAAAATATATAAACATCAGTTACTTTTGAAACTTCACGTTTATAGTATTTCACCGTGACAATCACCTGTAGATTCACTTAGTGATCCTTTTCAGGATCACAGGGGGGAAATGTAGTGAATTAATGCTGCACCAATGAGTAGAATATAATGGATAAATGTTTTACAATAAATACATTTATGTTATAAAGGCCAAAGAGTCCAAAAGTGTGTGCTCCAATATGGAGAAAAATAGAGCAGTGTGTGTGTAACCCCTTGCTCACACTGGCTCCGGTGCAGTTACCGAGCCGACGGAGACCGCAACTCCCGCACACCCCCTCTCACACCACCCTTTTGACTACGGTGCGGTGCGGCTCTGCGGCTCCGGCAACAGGTCCGGAGATTTAACAGAAGTTCACTTGAGTTCACGTAACTTCACGCGATAACACGGCCCAAATAAAGGATTTTTGCGAGAGCTTGTTGCGGAGGGCTCCGGCACGCCGCAAGGATAGCTTTCTTGCGGAATTTTCTGCAGCGCCGGAGTGTCTCGGTAACCGCAGCCGGACAGCTCAGCAGCCGGTGAGAGAGGTTTACGTCTTTTTAATGACTTGGAATCACTGCTGCGCCGCACCCACCGCACAGCAACGGTAAGACCGGAGTCGGTGTGAGCCTGGGGTAAGGCTTTCTGCAGCTGAGCCCTTTGAAGTTTGGTATGAAGATCAGGAGAGGAAAGGACAGGTAATGGGAGGGAGACAGAAGTATTGGACTTAGTCCAGCTGAGCTAATTGTGATATATTGAGTTGTCATATCCAAAGTGATACTGTGCGGTACTGAGCGACATACAAGTGATGTGTTACTGGAATTTTGAGCATCAAGGTTATGCTGACTTTTTTAATGAAATGTTATAATCATAAGTCACACTGGATGAAAACTTTGTTTTGACATATTGATGATTAAGACTGATGAGTTTTTGATTTAATTGCAAAATATATCATCATGACCTGCAAGAGATGCCTCTGCCTGATTTTTGATCATTGTTTGAAGACTTTTCTACTGCTTTTTGAGAACTTAGAATTTTTATAAGACTTAGCACCAATTTTAAGTCGTTGGGAGGACATTTCCACGACACCCGCGGACTCATCCCCGTGGCTCCCGGGGGCTCCGGCATTGCGGTGGCTGGGGGACTTCCTCGGGACTGTCTCTCCTCCTCCCTTGGTGGGGGTCGGATTTCTTGGGTGGGTCCCTCCTTGGCTCCATCGCTCTTGTGGTCCCTTTGGGCGTCTGGGGTTTTGGGTCTCCTGGTGATTGAATCTGTGTTCTGTGGGGGGTGCCTCTTCACAACCACTATTGAGTATTTTTTCTTTGGATAAACTTTACATGCACAAGGGCACATTCACAAACAACTACAGGTGCTTGGTTCGAGGTTCTTAGAGCTTCACTCCCACACAGAAAGCCCATATTTGTTTCTTCAGGTAACATATAATACATGTCAGATTAAATAATATTACTTATATTTCAGTGATAGTATCTAGGTGTTGCTTTATTGTATATCTTGTACCATAGGTTGCGCTGTTCTTTTTACATCTCTTTGCAGATGATGGAGCAGACTGAAAATGTTTTATCGTCATCTCCCTTTTATCTCCTCTTTCTTTAATCTTTTCTCCTTTCTTTTCTGTTTTTCTTTCCTCTTCTACTTACATTGCAGTGTCCATATAATCTGTAAAACTCCCTGCATAATTATAATAAAGCTCATTTTGGCATCAAGACAATTATTTTTATTGCCACATCGCCAGACAGGACACTGTAAGAAATAAGAAAAAATGTATATCTATTAAGGGGTTTGGGTAGAAGGGCGGTCATTGTATCTTTCTATGTTACATTGCTGGTAACTGAAGGGAGGCTGAGACCCAGAGGACCTTGTAAATATGTATATAGTTTCCTTGGCACCCTGCTTTGACTGATGAGCATTGTAAACCACCAACATCTATAACCTGTCTGAGCCTGGACACTCGAAGAGCAAAGACCCCTGTCACAGGCATGATAGAGAATAACATACAACCAGGGCTTGGAAATGAAATTACCTTTCAATCGTTCTGTTCTGAACGGTTTAGGTATGTATAATGTTTTCATTCTTGCGTTCCGCTATCAACATATTGGTCCTGAACCGGTTTGGAATGCAAAATATCGTTCCAGCAGTGTTTGGAGCTCGATTTGATGCTACATTAAGCTAGAAATACTATCTCATCGGGTTTTCCTGGTTCTGTCCAATCTAAACAACATGTAAAAGCCAAAATAAATTTCAGCATTCAATCCGTAACAAGCATTGCTATAGCTGATGTTGGCTTGTTAGCTCACATGAACAGTGTAGATGGTTATTCGTTTTTTGTAGCTAAAAATGTCTAATAGAGATATATTTGCAAACTTTATAGTGAATTACTAAGTTAACGTTATAATTGTGGACTTTATGTTTATGTTTGATGATAGCTCAGTTGCATCTCAGCATGTTTCTTGAGTGGTAGTGGAAAAGGAATAGGATATAGGGACAGTGGCCTGGGTTGAACGCACAACTGGAAATAGTCTTTTTTTCCCCACTGACATTGGCTATGTTTTTGTGAAATTTTGTAAACGAAACGAAAAAAATACAGTTTTGTGTATTTCAGAGTAATGTTTCTGATCTGGAACAGTTGAAGACCATTTTGTTTTCATTTCTGTTTATGTTGCAAGTAAAATTCCGTTCGTTTATGGTGTTCTTTTCGTTCCTTGAACCAGTTCATAGCCCTGCATATAACTAAAATTGTCCATGTGTGCAGGTATCAGAAACATGTTCTGTCAGAGAAAAATAGTCAGGAAATCCATATGGGTATTGTGAAGTAACCATTTATTATGCCCAACCACTGTACCAGGTGAGTCAAGCCAGCATAGTTAAAATAAAAATAGCTGGTTAAGTGGTTGGGCAGAACAAATACATAGAATTGCAATGACTTGGTGATTTCAGAATGCCTATGCCTGCTGTTATCAAAAAAGTAGTAAATTCCTCAGTTTGGCTTATTGAGAACATCATCGTAGGTAGGTATCTCTTGTTGTGACTTTGGCTGGCCTGGTAGCATATGGAGTCTAACCAGTGGGCAAAAGCTGTCACCTTAAGACCATCCCCTCTTCATTTACATGATATTGTAGAAATGTATACAGAAACGGAAAAAGGACAGGAAAAAAATAAATAGGGGGAAGGAAATAGAGTAAAAAACATAGAAGAAATAAAGCCAAAAATAAGAGAACAAAAATAAAAATAAGAGCGTACAGGAAGTAAATACATACAAAAGTATTTAAATGGTAAAGGTGAAAATTATTATATTAAATAAATATGGCAATTATTATAGAAGTGATCAAATAAGCTAACTAAAAATGTGTACATGCATTTCTTATTGTATAATTCAATTAATGCTTGCATTTATTCATTTGATGTATTTTTTGCCTATCTAACTGCATGCCTATTTATCTATTTAGCATTTATATATTTCCGTATTTATTTCTAACTATGTCAGCACAGAACTTAAGGGCAACTAAAACAAGAATTAAGTATTGTAAGATCACAAAAGTTCAGTCTTGTAGTTTGCATAGAAATTTACTTGTCTTTATAAACTGAGAAAAAAGATTAGCTCTAAACATTCAACAAGCCAGACCAGGGCCGGTACAGTACACAACTCTACAGCTCTCAAATACAGAATGTATTGATATAGACAGCATTGGATATCTTCTATCTGCCTGCATTTGAGTGATGACACTTCAGAGAGCCACACAAGCAGCTGAAGTACTTGCTTTTCACCCTCCAGTAGTTATCTCCATAGTCAATCCTAGTGAGAAAGAAGCTTTATCATGCCACAATCGAGTATAAAAAGCCTTTAAATGATTCGGCTCTAAACTTACCCAATCTGCTCTCCAGCTTTGATTGGTTTACTTGAAAAGAAGGCAATTCTTGGGAAGCGCAGGTCTTGGTGAATGGTGAACACCCTCACAGCTATCAGGTTGGGCTCACAGAGATGGTTGATAAAGCGACCAATGTTGCCGAAGAGATTAGCATCAAGGCAAAATGGTTCTCCTACCTAAAAAGGTTGATGTGAAAAAAATCATTACAGTCACAATTTACAAATCATTTCTCCTAAGCCTTAACATCGCATATGACGTTTAAAGGTTTTTTCACATCGAACATGAATTTTAGAGCTGGAGGGAAGAATTCCTTATCTCTACACAGAGGGCGAATCTGGAGTGAAGCCGAGTTAGGCAAAGGTGGCAAATTTAGAAAGATGAATTACGCTTTTTATTTTCTCTGCCGGTGTTCTCACACTAATTTACCACTGCTACGTCTGCTGCGTCTCATCTAACCCACTGTTGTCTGAGAGATTTGCTCCCCAAAGTATGACAGCAGAGCCCCAAAGTACCACTGAAAGCGATCGTCATTCAGACCTAGCCTCTGGAGGGTTTTGGTAATCCCCATACTGGTTCAGTCTAAGGGAATCTGGTGAATCTGACGGTTTGGTTCGGCTCCCTAAAGTAAAAAAAAAAAATAATTTTAGGCGCTTTGTAAATCTATGTCTGCCATGATGAGGTTAAACCAACGACCAGCAGACTCCATGACATAGGAGCCTTTGGCCTAACAGACGAATTTGCCTACCCTGTGAAACGCTTTCGCTGGCAAGGCGAATTTTAGGTGCACCAAAGCCGACGAAACATGCTAACTTTTCGCAGGTTTCACGTTGTGTGTGAATGCAACTTAAAAAGTTTCCCACATGTTGAGGGAAAAAATATTCTATTAATTCTCTTTGACATATATTTATGAAGGCATATATGCACGGATTTATGAGAGTTGAGTTGTATTTATTCGGCCTCGGAGCTCTAAGGACACATGTCTGTTTATACTATTAGGGGGTGTTTGGCCATAATATGGGATAGTTCTAAAAAAGTTAGACTTTTTTTGTTTCTATTTCATTTTTTTTTTTTTTTTTTTTGCTCTGGGTAGAGATGTGTTTTCACTCCGACACAACCTTCAGTATTTCCATCATTGAAAGTTAGGAAGACAAACTCTGGCTAGATCAGAACAGGGCATTTTACCATGCACTAAGGGCTGTATGATGTCTTGTTCTCTCTTTGCAAAGATAAATTAAATGCTGACTGGAGTAAATAGTTGAATAATTTTTTCCCATGACAATTTGGCATTGTCAAAGGAGGATCCCCTTGACTGATTCTTCTGGGAGCAGTTAACACAGAAGTGTCTTATTAACCTGGGATTAATTCCTGGCCTCAACTCAAATAGATGGAGGATGGAAGACTTCTGACTAAATGTTGTCAGCAGGATATTACGAACTGATGTTTTCAAGACAGCGGGAAATCTTCAGTTGGCATGGCTCAAATATTTTAGATTTAAAATTAATATAGAGGCAACAGTTCTTACTAGGGAAAAAGGTAGATTAGTTTTTTCCACTTGAGAACCAAAGACCCTACGCAGGGGTAATTCCCAGAGGGGTCTCTCAAAGTACTGAGAGGAAGGTTGTAAATATCACCACGAGAAATTTGATTTTGCTGAGACATCAGTAATCTAGAGTGGGAACCCCCTGATTTATCCCGGTTGGCACATGCAGACTAGGTGTGCATATTGATTATTGTCAAATTACTGGTTCATGAAGATAAATGGGAAAGAGACTTGCAGTGCAGATGAAGTGGAACAAGAAGTTGCAAGGTGAAACCGCCTGGAGGCAGCAGTCAGTAAAGGGTAAAGTGATCGACAATATATTTTACTTTTTTTCCATTTTCCATAGACTTCCAATGATGCAGAGAAAAGCTTAATAGCTCTATAATTTACATTCATTTCTGCATCTTGCAATGAAGTAAATGCTTGCTGATAGATTGACTTCCTTTACATGACTCATCTATAGGAGAATATCTAAACGGGCAATAACATATTGCCTGGTGGGCTTTTACAAAATTTCTTTCCTGACATTCGAAATTAACTTCATCACTCTTGCAGGACATGAAGTTTCTGACTTGTAAACCTTTCTTAAGAACTGAAGCTGAAAAAAACTGAAAAAAAAATGGTGGTCTGTCTCATCTAATAAATCCCGGTTCCAGGCAGCCCAGCATTGGGCAGCTCGACTTACGTCACATTTTCTACGTAAGTTACGTCACGTTGCAAACAAAAGTCTGCGTAAAAAAAAAGCAAATAAAAAAAAATGGCTTTCCATCGGGTAAACCGATCGAAAGTTTGGATTTAAAGTGGCAATTACATCTGCGGGACGAAATACATCCAACATGCAGAAACACCTGCGCACACAACATGGCATACATTTTAACGAACGCTTCCGGACAGAAGCTAAAGTTTCAAGCAGCATGGAAAGCAACTCTGGTGGTAAGTACCTAGTTTTATATCATTGTGCTTAATGTGGTTCCTAGGAAATCCTATGTCATTTTTGGAAGTAAACCCATTTCCTACCTGTCTTTTGGGTTATTAAGGGAGTGTGTCTATCTCATTAATCCAGCCCTTCATTGCTAGCATGTTTAATTAGCACTTCTGGTAGCACGAATTCTTACATGATTTTAGCTATTGCAGTGGATGTAACAAAATATGCTACGAAGTTGCTCTGCTGTTCAAGTAGCGAGAGAAAGGTGACGCTCGTTTATGTAAATCAGGGGGAGATGAGCTTATTTCCTGAAAATGCTTTTTCATTAAACGGAATTGATAAGAGAATCGATAAGGAATCAAATCATTTCACAGAATCTATAAGGGAATCAGAATCGTGAAATCATATCAATTCCCAAGCCTAGTCCTGCTCCATTAAAACTTCTAAAGCGCTGCCATGCACACGCCTAAAGCAAAACTGTGCAAGTGACCTTAACACAGGACATTAAAAAGAGCCTAATTAAGTGATATAACATAACCACAAAATATAACTGAATGCTTAATAAAATAAACAGTATATTTCAATGACTAAATTCTAATCAGATATAACGTAGAGATATACATAATTTCAATATGGCTCTAACATCCCGGCCCCTAATTGTTCTTGTGAACAACAATACATTATTTTAAATGTCCTTAGAGTCGTATAATTAAAATTTGTTTAAGAACAAGTAAAGCAAAGTCCATATAATTACTTTAGGGGTGATGCTGAGAAACTAGTCCATGCATTTGTTACTTCAAGGCTGGACTATTGTAATTCTTTACTATCAGGAAGTCCACAAACTATAGTTA